TATATATATATATATATAGATGTAAATATATGCGTTCTATATACACATCAATACTACTGCACACTGACACACATATCTCTGCTTTTAAATATCACTAACCACTAAAAAGGACCTAGGCTCTTTGGACAAGAAATTACTTAAATAATGATGGGAATGTGTCAAAAGGACACAGAAGCCACCTATTATAGGTTCTATTATTAACAAAATCATCTACCACTAGCCAAAAGTACAATTTTAAGCAAAGTAATGAGAATAAATTTTGAACGCACTGTGTAAAACAAGAAATCATGAGACTATACAGACACAAATAAATTGCAAATATGATGAAAAACAAGGTAGTATTTTGAAACCATATTCTCACAAAATAATTATAAACATAAAAAGAGTAACTTTACAGTGGAGCAGTCTAGCACACACTACCCTGACCAATGATGACTAACACCATCACATATAGGGTAAACTGAAAGTATTGATCCGCAACAGGATACAGTGAATAACAAATCATGTCTACAACATTTTTGCTAAAGCTCTATAACTTGAATCTAATCATGAAGAAGTATCATACAAACTCCAAATAAGGGATGTTTTACAAAACTGGCTTGTAATACACTGCACTGAAGCGCCAAGTTGTTGAGGGCAAGAAAAAAATGAGAACTTGTTCTAGACACCTGACATCTAAAGGGACAATATGACTCTGACTGGATTCTCCTGCACAAAGGACACTGTTGGGGCGATCAGTTCAATACGAATGGAATACAGGTCTGAGGATTCCATGGTAGTGTAAATGTAAATTTTCTGATTTTAATGGTTGGACTGAAGTTATGTAAGAGAACGTCCTTCTTTGAAGCAAATATACACACGAAGGTCCTCAGAAGCAATGGGGCATCACATCAACTTACAAATGGTTCAGAAGAAAACAAACAACTTTTAACTTCTTTATGAATTTGAGATTGACACTTTTTTTCAAGGATTTAAAAGGACATAAACAGGATGAAATGAAATTTCTGCAGACAATTCCTACTTAAGATCAAAACGATGCCACTGACTTACAATCACTGACTTATTTTGCTTTCTGCCACGAACAAAACCGTATTCACTTAGCTG